TCCTTGCTCTTCCTTCAAACTTTGATATTTTCTATTTCCAGATAGAGGTCAAATTTCGCATGGGTCAACCGGTCAAGGTCACTGGGAACCTGATAGAGTGCAGCTCAACCAAAGACTATTCTAATCTCCTCTTCACCCAGACCCAGGGGGACGTGGTGAGCTATATCGTCCAGATGCCCAACCCAGGCTATTACAAGTTACAGATCTACGCCCTCCCCGTTAGCGACGAAAGTAAGACACTTCCGGGAGTTTACAACTACCTGATCAACTGTACCCGGGCCCCGAAACCAGTACAACCGTTCCCCAAACAATACGCTCAATGGAAAGAAGGCTGTTATTTGTATGAGCCGCTTACAATCGCCAATAACAACGGGACTGTCAATTTTAAGGCGACTGTACCCAAAGCTAAAGCGGTAGCGGTTACTGTTAATGATACATGGACTCAGCTTAAAAACTCCGGAAGTGACGTGTGGGAAGGACCCGTTCAAATCACGAAAGACTCTCGCGTGACATTAAACGTGAATTATGGGGGAGAAGAAACCAAATATTCAACTCTCCTAGAGTACAATTTGTGAACACGGTTCATTGGAGATAGACTTCTTTTCCAAATTCATAGACACCTTACATACGTTGTAGAGTAAATTATTAGAATTATAATTTTTTTCAATAGATTTTATAAGAAATAAGCATATCAATTGGAATCTGGGTTTACGCAGATTTATGACATTTTAAGCACTGTTTAGCTAGTTTCTAACATTCTCTTGTGCTAACATTTTTATGGCTTTATGATTAACAAAAACGTACACCCTGCAGCTTTACAATGCAATAAAATCTCTTAAAACACACATTATTTATGGATTTTTAATGCTTAAAAATAGAAGGACAAAATTGAAATACATCACTGTGATATATTTCTGTCATGTCGGTTATCGACACCTAATCTCGTAATATCAGCAGAATCATGCGTGGCATAAAATTTTGGAGATAAAACAGTCCGCGCCGATTTACCGCCTACATGTCGGAATAAAGTGATAAAAAGCTTGATTCATAGTTATAAAATTTTGAAATGAAAGATTTCAAAAACAGTATGTACAATCGTTATGAAGGCATCAAAATATTCCTCATAAAAGTCCACAGTGAAGATAACTTTGGTCATGTTTTGGGACGATTTTCACCTTAGTTTGGACTTTCAGCAGGGTGTGGCATTCTCGGCGCTACATAATGGTGAATACTAGTAGATTCTCATTAGTTAAGAAAGTAATAACATCAGGAACTTTAAATTGTTGTTGACAACGATGAGACGACTTATGCCCCACCTCTGTGTCGTGAGAAAACTTTTAATTGGCTATTTACTACACCACTTTACATTCGGACGAATTTCCATCCTATGTATATTTCAACAGTTAAAGAAAGCTGTGTAAACTTCAGAAGCTAATTACTAGGCAACGTCAAGAATGCCACGCCTTACTGAAAGTCCAAACTAAGCTGATAATGGACCTAATTTACAGAAAAATTGTCAATTTACATAAATACTGGTAAATGATTTTGATTAAATTAATTTTTTAGCAGAATGCAACAAAGCACTACTTTTGGATTGAAATTGAAATCGACTACAATGAAATATGGCGATAACGAATTAGCTAAAAGGTCAACTAAACAATACAACAACAAACACTGACCACTATAACATCAAAAATGGAATTGGATGTCATGGAGGAGTGAACACCCTCTGCCGACCGGTCAAATGCCGTCTGCTCCTTTTCATAATCGGGAGGAAATAACGGAAAAATTCGTCGACAATTCAGTGTATAAATAGGGGCTTAACAATTCGAGTAAAATAAATCTGTCAACATCTGACTTAATCATTGATAGATTGAACTTGCTGACAAGACCATTGTATCGACCATAGAACTTACAAAATGATGACTATCAAACGATACTGCTGATCATGACATTCTTGTTTGAAGTTTCATCAACTTGTTTGTCAATAATTTACCTAGTAATACCACAGGCGACAAAAATAGATGAGAAGAAAAGAGACTTATCAAAGGCGACATACAAAAAGGGAGAGGGAACGGAGAAAAAATTAGCATCATACATGCATAGAATCCAATCGACGTTGGGACAACAGAGTTTTGGTGCGATGATGATGACGCGACGGAGTAAACTCAATGATCATAGTGCCATAGAGCGATGTTGAACGTCTCTTCATCATTATCGTACCAATGTCATCACCATCGCGTCGTGTGCTCATTCCATACCTGATAATGTGATAAGGAAAACCTGGCCCATGAATCCGGATAGTATTATACTTAAATTCTCACTGCGCATTAGAACTTTGATTTGATAACGCGATAAAGCACTGGCAATGATGAGGATTTAGTAATGAAGCAACGCAGTGAAATTTAAACGATACTAGTAGATCAAAAGCGATGAAATGACGACGGTGCGACGACTGTGGTATGATGACGATAATGCAGTATACATTTTTGTTATTTCGCACATTAGTACCATTGTAAGCATGTTACCATGCAATCTATTCATCGTCACCTCGCCATCGCACCTTCGCGTTATCGTAGCATCATGTTACATCGGCATTGTCATTGTAGCATCATGTTACATCAGCATTGTCACAGAAGCATCATGTTCCATCGGCATTGTCATTGTAGCATCATGTTACATCGGCATTGTCACAGAAGCATCATGTTCCATCGGCATTGTCATTGTAGCATCATGTTACATCGGCATTGTCACTGTAGCATCATGTTACATCGGCATTGTCACCGTAGCATTATGTTACATCGGCATTGTCATTGTAGCATCGTTACATCGGCATTGTCACCGTAGCATCATGTTACAGCGGCATTATCACTGTAGCATCATGTTACAGCGGCATTGTCATTGTAGCATCATATAACATCGGCATTGTCACCGTAGAATCATCTTACATCGGCATTGTCATTGTAGCATCATGTTACAGCGACATTGTCACAGAAGCATCATGTTACATCGGCATTGTCATCGTAGCATCATGTTACAGCGGCATTATCACTGTAGCATCATGTTACAGCGGCATTATCACTGTAGCATCATGTTACATCGGCATTGTCATTGTAGCATCATGTAACATCGGCATTGTCATCGTAGAATCATCTTACATCGGCATTGTCACCGTAGCATCATGTAACAGCGGCATTGTCATTGTAGCATCATAAAACATCGGCATTGTCACCGTAGCATCATGTTACAGCGGCATTATCACTGTAGCATCATGTTCCATCGGCATTGTCACTGTAGAATCATGTTAGATCGGCATTGTCACCGTAGCATCATGTTACATCGGCATTGTAACCGTAGCATCATGTTACATCGGCATTGTCATTGTAACATCATGTTACATCGGTATTGTCATCGTAGCATCATGTTACATAGGCATTGTCACCGTAGCATCGTGTAACAGCGGCGTTGTCATTGTAGCATCAGGTTACATCGGCATTGTCACCGTATCAGGTTACATCGGCATTGCCACCGTAGCATCATGTTATATCGGCATTGTCATTGTAGCATCATATAACATCGGCATTGTCACCGTAGAATCATGTTACATCGGCATTGTCATTGTAGCATCAAGTAACATCGGCATTGTCACCGTAGAATCATCTTACATCGGCATTGTCACCGTAGCATCACGTAACAGCAGCATTGTCACTGTAGCATCATGTTACAGCGGCATTGTCATCGTAGCATCATGTTACAGCGGCATTATCACTGTAGCATCATGTTACATAGGCATTGTCACCGTAGCATCGTGTAACAGCGGCGTTGTCATTGTAGCATCAGGTTACATCGGCATTGTCACCGTAGCATCAGGTTACATCGGCATTGTCATTGTAGCATCGTTACATCGGCATTGTCACCGCAGCGTCATGTAACAGTGGCATTGTCATCGTAGCATCAGGTTACATCGGCATTGTCATTGTAGCATCGTTACATCGGCATTGTCACCGTAGCATCATGTTACAGCGGCATTGTCACCGTAGCATCATGTTACATCGGCATTGTCACCGTAGCATCATGTTATATCGGCATTGTCATTATAGCATCATGTTATATCGGCATTGTCATCGTAGCATCATGTAACAGCGGCGTTGTCATTGTAGCATCATGTTACATCGGCATTGTCATCGTAGCATCATGTAACAGCGGCATTGTCATTGTAGCATCATGTAACAGCGACATGGTCATCGTAGCATCATGTAACAGCGACATTGTCAACGTAGCATCATGTAACAGCGACATTGTCATTGTAGCATCATGTAACAGCGACATTGTCATCGTAGCATCATGTAACAGCGGCATTGTTAGTGTGCTCATCCTTCGGTCGATATCGATCTATGTAACCCATAGTTTGCATACATATATGATTTTGAGGCTGAGACATGGTGTATTTAAAAAAAATTGAAAATTCCATGTGATCGAATAATGAAGTTTATCCTGCAACTACCCCTTGTATTGACCTAATAAAGGTAACCTAATAAAGCAAAGCTTTATCCGGTCACTGTCCTAATTAAGCCTCGTACATGTATTCCGACGTTCTAAAAGCATTGTGACGTCAGGTATAATAAAGCTATTCCGACGTTCTAAAAGCATGGTGACGTCATGTATATACGCCATGGCGTCATCATGGTCATAGTTTCAACTGCAGGGATGTGCCCAAATCTGTCGAAAATAGCAAGTTTTGGACGTTCAAATGTAAAAAAAAAAATATGTTGCTGGATAAACAAACTACATGATAACTGTCTTGAAATATAAGCGATATTTGGTCTTGGGTCGAAAACGTAATCTTGAGGGCTCCGGCAAGCCTCGCCCTCTATCAAGTTTTCTTACCCTCGCCCAAATATTGCTTATATTTCAAGACAGTTACCACGTACACTGTATTTTATATATAGATAAACCTTTTAATCAATGTACATGTAGTGAATGAAATAAATACAAAAGAAGGAATTTCTCAGTGTTTCATTAAAGCATAACTTTCTTCACTTGCTGACGACACTTTCAACTTAATCAGTAAATTATGTTTCACGTTTTAACAGGTGATCCTTACTAACATAACTGCAGCCATCATCCAGTAGACGGCTGGACTTATACTAATTCCGTCAGCTCTTTTCAACGCACTCCAGTCCCAGTTCGATGACATTTTAGTCATCGACACAGATGCATCAGCCTTTAGTTTAAAATTGCCTTCAAATAAAAAGAAGTTTTGATAATTAAAAACAACAAGAGGCCCTGGTGTCACATATCTCACCTAAAGCAATGGCGAGATAAAACCACACCGAAAAACAGTGTATAGTTTTAGGAGAAGGAATATGATTTGAACAAAATTGAATCTACACTAAAAACGTATGCGTACACATTTTTATTAGCTGAATTTTTTCTATGAGTTTGGACTTTAATTGTGGCCCTACTCCCCCCCCCCCCCCCCCCCCGATCATGATTTGGACAAACTTGAATCAACACCACATGAGGTTGCTTCCATATAAATATGACCAATCATAGCTTTGCTGTTATCGAGAAGTTTTTTGAAGATTTATCCAGAGGCAGCTACGTTACTTATTTTTTCGTTTATTATTAGGTATGGGTATTTTTTCTTATTAAAATAAAAATAAGTAACGTCAGGTCCCTGTTTATTATACTAAATATTCCCATGTAAAACTTTGATCGATCATTGAGGCCCACCCTTCCCCGGGGGTCATGATTTGAATAAACTTGAATCTTCATCACCTGTGGATGATTCCGTATAAGTATGTCCAATCATGGCTTTGTTTTTCTTGAGAAGATTTTTAAAGATTTTCTCTATACATGTACATTCTTATGTAAAACCTTGATCATCCACTGTAGCCCGACCCTACCCCGGGGTTCATGATTTGAACTAACCTGAATCGACATCACCTGCAGATGCTTCCATATAATTATGACGTAAATTATGCATTAAGGTGGCTCATTACATCCACAGTTTAATTTAAATTTCATTATGATCATCCACTGTAGCCCGACCCTACCCCGGGGTTCATGATTTGAACTAACCTGAATCGACACCACCTGCAGATGCTTCCATATAATTATGACGTAAATAATGCATTAAGGTGGCTCATTACATCCACAGTTTAATTTAAATTTCATTACATTACCACTTAAATGTAGATGTCAAATATCCAAATGGAGGTACTGATATCATAAATATTTTTTAGAGATTTTTTAAAAACTTTTTTTTCTAATTTTAGTGAAATGTTTTATTTCAAGTTTATTATTACCAGAATTTCAGAACTTTCACTGTCAGATGATGGACATCTTCTTTAGACAAGTACACACAATGAAAATACCCCAAAATACCTAACATTAATTTTATTAGAAATAAATAGTTTTCTCCTAAAACATTTAATGTCATTATATTTTTAATCTGTGCATAAAATATTAAGAAAATGAGTTCTGAAGAGACAAGGAAATTAATGTATTTCGATGAATTGCATGAGACAAATTGAACGAAGAATGTTTTAACGAAGTGAAAATTTCAGATTCTGGTCTCTGACCAGTAGAGCTAAAAACCAACACAGTAAATAGTACAAGGAAATAACATTTTTTAATTTTAACAAGGTTGTAGATTTTAACTCGAATTTCCTCATAACAAACATGTCATTGATAGAGCTCACTGCTTCTCAATGAATTTGCACATTACTTGTTTGGCGAAGATTTGGCTGTTGTTTTCTTTTGTTTCGGCTTAAAAGAAATCCTTTTTGGTTTATGCATAATGAATTCGTTACTTTGTTTTTACTGTGTCACTGTTCATAACATCGCATGTTTCATCTATTTTTAAAGCGTTTTAAAGGTCAGGGTCATATTATAAAAGTACCTATACAGTTTGTCCCCAGAGTAAAATGGTCGAAACAATGGAGGTTTATTTTTTGCTTAGTACGTCATCAAAAAGTGGTGTAATGAGCCTCCTTAAGACTAAACGGTAACAAAATAACTGATGGTGAAGATGACAAGTTTTTAATATATAAACTTTTATGACCTGTATATAAATTTTTCTTACATTTTTTCGTACGTTTTGCTACTGCTAATCTTTGCAGTTTGAAAACAGCTCGAATTATTTCTGTCTCTATTTCTGAATGTTTATGGTCCGGATGCTTTGCTTGTCCTTCCACTTTAGCCGCCATTGCACACTGGAAGTTTCCCGGAAGGGCATCGCATTCGTCGAGAGGAATGTTTACAGTAAAGTTTGCTTCTTTACCTAAACACATGAATGGAGTGTATTAGTATTCCAGATACTTATTATAACATTTGTTAAATATCTTATTAGGAAACTTGGAGAAAATGAACAATATTTAAGCTTGAAAGACATGAGACAGCATGGGACTATAAAACATTAGAAACATTAGAGGTGGGATCAGGTGTCATGAAGGAGTAAGCATCCATTGCCGACCAGACAAACCCGCCAAGTGCACTCCTTGCATGATCGGGGAAATAAAAACAGAAAAATCCTAAGACAATACAGTGTGTAAATAATGGCCATATAATAAGCATGAAAAAAGTTCATCAGAATTTGTCTTTGTCTTTGTGATATTCTGTATTTACTGAAAAGACCATTGTATCGAGTACCGACCACAAAAAAAAAAAAAAAAAAAAAAAAAACATTTCACAATTTTATTATCGTGTTATCAAAGGATACTAATATCCTGTCAAATGTATTAACCTAGCCCCAAGTTGCCACTCGCATCTTTCGCCTTCAGCATCTTTGCCAACTGGGGGACCATTCGGATGTTATAGGGATCTGTCCACATTTGCGTCTCTGTCAGCCCTGCCAGGAGAACGCGAGCCTGGGGTACCATCCACAGCGGCTGGTAGAAGATGAAGATCCCCAGCACTTCTGTCACGTCGTCAACGTACTTCTTCTCTATTCTACAGTTCACTGTGACTCGTCTCTTCTCACTTTTCTTTGCTTCATGGATTTTTATTTCTGCTACTCCAAAGCCTCCAAAGATTTTAAATATGAAGTTAATAAAGAACAAATTTCAATATCCTGTAAAATTTTTTTCAATCAAACTTGCAATGAAAAATTTGGAATTTAATATAACAAAAGGCCCATGGGCCTTGTAGGTCACCTGAGCATCATGCAACAACTTTCAAATTATTGAATTTGGTTCATGTTTTAAGCTAGATGTTATGGCATTCACAATTTTGAAAGAGGCACCATTGCTAATCATAACTATACACTTAGCAATTACTTAGTTTGTTTACTTAATACCTGGGGCCATGTATTTCACAATTTTGGTAGAGGCACTCTTGCTCATCATAACTATGTACTTAATTAGTTTTTTAATACCCAGGAGCAAAGAAGATTTTTAAAGATTTAATTCATTGCGTGGACCATGAGGTCCACGCAGTAAATATATAAGCGAAGTTAAACCGGATGCCCTGGGCAAACGACAGGCTACGCTTGCGCGAGAATGCCAGAAAGTTCGTAGTCTCGTTCAACCAGACCCTCGGCTGTCTCCGTAAATCTCCGACCACCCAGAGGTCTGCTGGTCGGAGTTCACGGAGACAGCCGAGCGTCTGGTTGAACGAGACTAGAAAGTTCGCACCTTAGGTAACTTGCCCGTAGAATAATCGCCCTATTCGAATTAAAATATACCATTCATTATCAAATCGCGCTTTTAATTCTGCATATCGCATTTACATATTCATTGGCAGATCCGATTTTCTCTCTTTTACATATACTTTTATATACAAACTAAACATTTATTCTATGGCACAAGTGTGCAAGAGTGCAGATCTGCGCATGCTCGGTAAAACAGGACGCTTCTTCTCAACTCTCTTGAAATTTTATAAAATTTCACATTTTCTGACTGATCCCACAGGCCTGAATTTGTGAGGATCAATTGGGACTTCCTAATATTAACTTTCTTCACTCCATCGTCATGGGAAATCATGGATCCACCAATTTTGGGCTTTTTTACAGCTAAGCTGATTATTGACAATAGAATATTTCTACTTCCGGTTGAGCGGCAAATGTAGACTAACCATAATGAAACACCTTTTGATTACTATATGTTTTATGACTTTTGTGGTAAGTAAAACTATACATTACCAACGCAAGACACAAAACATCTATGTGTCTAAGGAATTTTCATTCTCCCTCCAACAGTCCAGTCAGATCTGTGCAAACACCTGTATTTACTATTGGTCTATAAACACATCGCGACAGAGGAAATTCCAGCCATGTGTGGTTTGTAATACCTCAGACTTTCTATCTATGTTATTAGTGATTGGAGGAGTAGAAACAAACCCCGGCCCCTCTAACTCAAGCTATATGTGTCCTATATGCGATAAACCGTGCGACTGGGGACAAAGAGCCATTGCATGTGATGAATGCAAATCATTGGTACCATGCGCCCTGCACATGGGGTAGATTCAGAGGAATATTTATTCCTATCCAATAAGTCTGTCTCATGGTACTGTGTAGTTTGTAATGCCCCAAATCACTCTACTGTATTGTTTGATTTAATTGACTCTGCTGATAGCAACACCTTTTCAGTTTTGTCTACAGGAGATGCTAGCAATGCAGATCCAAACTACAGCAGCTTATCAAATACCAGCATCGGGGAACCTATGGCAACATCATCCCCCCAACCACCAACAAAGCAGCCAAAACAACAACAACGAGGGAACACACGGCAGAACCTACGTATTCTTGTTACCAACTTCCAGAGTGTCAAAAACAAACGCAACGATCTCCAAGTCATGATTGAATCAACGAAACCCGATGTTATCCTTGGGACTGAGACTTGGCTGAGTGATAAGATATGTACATCTGAGGTATTCCCTCCTGAACTTGGGTATGATGTAATACGTAGAGACCGCGAAGGGGATGCACATGGTGGGGTTCTTATAGCTGCTACAACTGAACTCGGCCTGAATCACCTTCACACCAGTGGGGACTCGGAACTTATTTCGGGTAGCATCAACATAAGCCCCCGAAAGAAAGTGATTTTATCATGCCTCTACCGTCCACCAAATAGGCAAGATCAGCATACAACAGATAAAGTTATACATAATATAAGTGAGCTGCGCTCTCAACACAAGAATAACATCTTCATACTAGGAGGTGATTTCAACCTGCCAGACATCGACTGGGATAAATATGTAATCAATGGTTCCCAAACATCAAGGGAAATAAACAACGCCTTCATGCAGATGACTGCCGACCTAAACCTGCAACAAGTAGTAGATATCCCGACCAGAGGAGAGAACATCTTGGATCTACTAATGGACATTTACGAGAAGCGCTGACTTTTACAGTTGACGCTGACTTTTACACTAGAGCTATGTACGGTAGCTCTTTTAGGGTATAAATATTTAGCTCAACATTTAATTAAACTAAAATAAGGGGTTATTTCAATGCACGTATAAGTTGTTCTTGAAGAAAACAACAACCACCCTACCCTAAACTCCCGGTCTTCACATGTTAGTGCCCCTAAAACCATACCTTTGACCACTAGAAAGGTTTTCCTATGTATTATCAATTCTGTACTTTCGTACATGATACAAGTTTAAATGTCCAAGTAAACGTCAACTGTAGAAGTCAGCACTTCTCGTAAAAGTCCACTAACATCCCATCCCGGGCAACTTAGTCGATGTAAGACCATCCCACCACTTGGTAACAGCGATCACGATGTGGTACTCCTAGACTTCACAACACACATATCTCGACCACGGCCAAAAAGGAGAACCATCTATCTGTGGAAGAAAGCCAATACCAACGGCATTAGAGACGAGCTCGAGAGTCAATTAGATACCTTCACACATACCGACTTTGAAGATGTCAACAGCATGTGGGGGTACATTAAGGATCTTATATTAGGAGCTGTAAAACATCATGTACCATCTCGACGTACTCTGGCTAAATATACCCACCCGTGGATGACCTCTGAGTTAAGACGCCTAAGCAATAGGAAACAGAAAGCCTACAAACGTGCTAAGCGCAGTAAAGATTCAAAAGACAACAAGCGATACAAGGCACTCAAAGGGCAACTACAGAGAGAATCCAGGAGGGCACACACAGCTTACTTGGAGGATGTCGTCAGCGATGACCTGCGTACCAATCCTAAACGGTTTTGGACTTATATTAAAAACAGGAAGCAGGACTCATCCCAGATTGTGACACTGAAGTCCAAAGACGGTTTCCTCCGTAGCGATACTGCCAGTAAAGCCTCGATCCTGAATGAGCAGTTCCAATCTGTATACACGCAAGAGGACTTGAGTACTCTACCCGATCTAGGACCTAGCCCCTTCCCTACTATGGACAGCATAACCATTAACGAGAGGGGAATATTGAAACTACTACAGGGACTACGCCCATACAAAGCTACTGGACCCGATGAGATTCCAGCGTTTATCCTGAAGCAAAGTGCAGAGTCCATAGCCCCATACCTGACAGGGATGTTCCAGCTTTCCTTAGATCACGGTCAGATACCAGATGAATGGCGTAGAGCAAACATCGTCCCTATATATAAGAAAGGGGAGAAACATCAACCATCAAACTACAGGCCGGTCTCTCTAACATCCATAGCCTGCAAACTCCTGGAACATGTTGTACACAGCACAGTTATGGACCACTTCGATCGGAACAACATCCTCTGTGATGAGCAACATGGTTTTCGAGCCCGCCGATCATGTGAGACACAACTTGTTATAACACTAGACCAGTTAGCCAAAAACATGGACCAGGGATACCAGACAGATGTGATACTTCTGGACTTTTCAAAGGCTTTTGACAAAGTCCCCCACCAACGTCTCCTACTGAAATTGGAGCACTACGGAGTGTCAGGCACCACTCTAGGCTGGATAAAGGACTTCCTAAGTCGGAGAACCCAATCAGTGGTACTGGATGGGCATACATCTTCACCGTTGGATGTCCTTTCCGGAGTGCCACAAGGAACTGTCCTGGGACCACTCCTTTTCCTAACCTACATAAATGACCTTCCTGAGTGCACCAAATCAGACGCCAGACTGTTTGCGGATGACTGTCTCGTATATCGACAGATCCGAAACCAGAGAGATGCAGACAAATTACAGAAAGATCTCACAGCCTTAGAAGGATGGGAAAAGAAGTGGCAGATGTGCTTCCATCCCGAAAAATGCACAGTCATTCGGATCTCCAACAAAAGACAACCACTGCAAACATCATACACCCTGCATGGACATCAGCTGGAAGTGGTGGAGAGTGGGAAGTATCTTGGTGTTACCATCTCCCAAGACCTACAGTGGAACAACCATATACACACTAAGATAGGGAAAGCTACAAGAACTCTGGGCTTCCTGAGACGAAACCTTGGCCAGTGCACACCAATAGTTAAAGCAACAGCGTACTGTACCATGATCAGACCATCGATCGAATATGCGTCACCAGTATGGGATCCCTACCAGACCAACTTAACAAAGGATCTAGAGCATGTACAACGTAGAGCGGCCAGGTTCGTCTTTAATCAGTACACGGATACCTCCCCCGGGTGCGTAACATCTTTACTTGAACAACTAGAGTGGGACTCACTCCAGCATAGGAGAACAACACATCGACTAGTCCTATGCTATAAAATAAGGAATCGCCTGGTGGACATCAACCCAGACAAGTACTATACACCCGGGGACAGAAGAACTAGAGGTACCCATAGATACAGACAGCCTCGTGCCACCAAGGAGGTCTACAAGAATTCATTCTTCCCACGGTCGGTGAGAGACTGGAACCGCCTACCAGAGGAAATTACAGCAGCCCCTACTATACAGGAGTTCAGGACTGGACTAAACAGCGTCCCCTGGACCCAGCTGCAACCCTGGTAGACAAGACAGCCACATTGTATATAGTTTTAACCGTTTTTAAAGGGGAAGCCTCCTGTTTTTAACCGAGCTGGAGTTATCAACACTCTGTATAGAGTTCAACTCCCTACCGGAAGAAAAAAAAGAAGTGTTTGTACA